TCCTCCTCCTCCATGGGGAGCTTTCATCTGGTTAATCTTTGTTAATATTTGGGGTGGTTTTTATTCTCGCACTTGGTTTCTGTGCTTTGCTTGTTCAAACGGGAAGAAAAAAATAAAGAAAAGAAGAAAAGGAATAATACTTAAGTCTCTGTGTGTGTTTGCCTGTATATGTATATGTGTATATGTGTGTGTGTGTGTGTGTGTGTATGTATATGTATTAAATAAGCAAATATAATCAGACTTGTAGTGCATGATTTTGAAGGCCTCTTGGCTCAGTTTACAGCTACCCAATTCTGAGAGTGCAATGCCAAGTCCCCATTGACTTATTTATGTGTGTGTGTGTGTGTGTGTATCCTTCCCATATTTGGGCCGACCGGGTGCATCATAAAAAAACACAAGACATGTATGTACAGTATATATACACACACAGAGTGGGATGGGTGCTTTGTCAATAAATGTAATTAATTAATGTAAGATCACTTTCTACTGTGATTATTACAGTTGATCATACAGTTAGCCAGATGTTCAAGTTGGATTTGGCTTTTTTGTCCACCTGCTGAGTTATTGTTATTATCATCAACCGGAATAATACTAGAATATCCCTAAATAAAAGAATAACAAAGTATAACAACAAGAGATCTCAAGATGGTTGCAGCAAGGATTGTTTGGACCGGCTACCAATACTCTTTTCCACGTTATTCCATTCCATACCATTTTCCAACTGGGAACAGAAAGAAATATGGGGATGATGGTTGGTGCTAAGCCTGCAGCCTCCCAGATGGTGAAAAAAAAACAAAGAAAGCAAACAATGGTTCAGCACAGGGGCCTCCAGACTTGGCCATTTTAAGACTTGTGGACTTCAGCTCCCAGAATTCTTTAGCCAGCCGTGGAGTTGAAGTCCACAAGTCTTAAAGTGGCCAAGTCTGGGGGCCCCTGGTTTAGCAGAAAAGAATGAGAAGGTTGATGATTTTGGAGCCCTTGACAAGCAGCCTTTGAGTCCTATAAGTGATTTGAGATGACTTTCCAAACCTGGAGACCTCCAAAGTCACTAAAACGGCTTGCCTCCAGAAGTTGTGGGTGCTCCATCATGGAGGTTTTAAAGAAGAGACTGGACAGCCACCTGACTGAAATGGTATGGGCAGAGTGTTGGACTAGAAGACCTCCAAGATCCCTTCCAATACTGTTATTCTGTTATTCTAAGTACTTGAAAACAATCGGGTTGTCAGGATTAACATCCTGCTTGACCCGCAAAATCCAAGGCCACCAACTTCTCCACGGGCCCATTTCTTGGTCCTTGGGGAAGGACAGCCCACTGTGAGGGAGAGTTATTTTTCTCTCAAGCCTCCCACTGGTGTTTTTTTCCCCAAGATCAAAGAAACAAGCCTACAGTTCACAATACACATTAAGCAATTTATTGACTTACACAACTGATACGGCAGCCTGTCTTATATACCAAAACCCTGGGCGGTTCACTGCAACAGCATTAAAAATACGTATAAAAAACCTGTCATTACGTGTTTCGGCTGTTTTAGGCCTAAGGCCTGACATTTGCAACAAACATGGTTAAAGCCAATGCCGTAGCACGAGGAAGGGAGACACCTGCAACTCAGTGGCTGGATCTGCATATAATCAAGAGTCCTGTAATTTGTTGGTTTGACTTTTAATAGGCAGATAGTCCTTGACCTAAGACCACAATGGAGCCCAACATTTATGTTGCTAAGCAAGACAGTTGTTAAGTGAGTTTGGCCCCATTTTACGACCTTTCTTACCAGGGCCATTAACTGAATCGCTTGTAAGTTACTAACACGGTTGTTAAGTGAATCCGGCTTCCCCATTGACTTTGCTCGTCAGAAGGTCGCAAAAGGGGATCGCGTGACCCCGGGGCGTTGCGACCGTCATAAGTAAGAGTCAGTTGCCGAGCATCTGAATGTTGATCATGTGACCAGGGGGAGGCTGCAATGGTCCTTAGTGTGAAAAACGGTCGTTAAGTCCCTTTATTCAGTGCTGTTGTGAGTTTGAATGGTCACTAAACGAATGGTCGTAAGTCAGGGACCAGCTGCACTAACTCATCCAGCGTTGTTTACAATTATTCTCCATTACGGTTTGTTCAGCCCATCATAGGAAACAACTCCTGGTTTGAGCGCGCCAGTGGGAAACCCTTTGAAGGCTATTCTCAGGGTAGGTGGGGGATTCCTGCTTCAATTGGCAGAAAACAGGGGCGCCTTTTTCTGGTGGCTGAAGTCCCGGGTGGCTCGGTGGGCTGCATATTTAGGAGGTGGATGACCTTCTGAATCTAATAAATCAGTACAGGAATCCCGATGTCCTGCCCACCGCTGCAAATGAGGCCCAATTCTGTCTTCCTGCACAATTGGCGGCTTCTGCGCATTCACATGGACCCATCCCTTTACGGGTCTTATTGAAGTCCAAACAATAACACGCAGGTATGAGCCAGTCAGTGGACGTGAGCTCTTGAGGTCTGAGAAGGTGTCAGCTCCAACAAGGAGCATTCACACCTTCAGCTGAATGCCGGGTGTTTCTTGAGCCTTGCTAGCATCCTCCTTCCCAGCCTAATCCTCAGGCTGACTTTAACTTGTAGATCTATGAGCAGGCTTTTGTTTGTGAAATGTATTCTTTCTTTTCCCTTTAGACAAGTATATTATTTTATTATAAAAATTATACTATGGTATTACTATTATGAGGCATCCTGGGCGTTCTCTGAGCTGGCTTGTTTTCTTGCAAACGTTTCATGACCCAAACTAGGTAACATCATCAGTGCTAGGTTAACTCCCCCTCCCTTCTAACACTGATGATGTTACCTAGTTTGGGTCATGAAACATTTCAGAGAGCTCAGAGAGCACCAAGGAGCCTCTCACTTCAGCCCTAAGGTACAAATATTCTCCTTTATTGCTACTTACTATTATCATTATCATCTCCATTAAGTTTGGGCTAACTGTATAGAGGATACAGAATTTAAACATTTTTAAAAAGTTTTTCCCCCCCATTAATTAAGGAAGGGACCAAGTACTGTTTGTCCACCGTGTGCCACCTCTGACTCTTCTGGTGTTGTTAAAGGATCCTTTATTTGCCGAGATTTGTTAAAAACACAAGGTGCTATCTGAAAAAGGGGTTCCCCCCCCCCCCATTTATGACCATCAAATCCTTTCTGCTGCCAGAAAGAGATTTCCTAGTGAAAATATATTTGGTCAGGTTGCTTAGAATTCCAGGCCTGCAAAGGAAATTGAAGAATCTCTTTGCAACAGGCTGATCCAACCGTGCAGATCGGCTAAAATTCAGTGCTGGAAAGTTCCTCGACTTAATTTTGGTATCGGAGGAAAAGATTTCCTGTTGCCAGCCTGGAATTTCTTGCTCATCCTGGAGTTATTGAGGTGCAGAGAAAGATTGAGCTTCAATCTGCATTTACTTCCACTGAGATCAGCAGGGTGCCATCCACGGGTAAATGGGCATACATTTCAGCTGCTACCTTAATCTTTTCAGAAACTTCTGTTGATTGACTTAGTTGTAGAAAGGATTAAGACCAGAATGGGTGAATTTGGAGAGAGTTGGTGGCCGAGAACGGCAAGGAGCAGAATTAGAAATTGCTGCCGAGGCGGGCATCCCTGGTACAAAAGCACATTCTCCAGGTGGTAAAACGTGTGCAGATGGTGGCTTGACTGGTAGCTGAACATGGGCAGCATGGAAACATGGTAGAAACAGCCAAAGACGGTTTCCTGAAAGGGTGTGTATGAAATCAACCCAGCTCAAGACCAGACAGGAGGGTGGCAATCAATCCACCATCAACCCCCTCGCCAGCAAAGTCCCTTCCCTCCACAGTGCCAGTGTATGAGCTGTTTTGAAAATTGGCATTGCGAATTCTCAGAATTGGGTAGCTGTAAACCGAACCCTTCAACATCGGTGTGTTATAAGGCTGGCTACATTTGCTTACTTAATTAAAAAAAATATTAATTAAAATAAGGGCAAGAAAGAGGGCAGAAAGGATGTCCCTTTTCTTGTAAGTTTGTATAAGCCCGGCTTTCATTTTATTAAACAATTCGGCTTCTTACGAAGCGCTTGTTAATTGCAGCAAAAATGGCCACTATGGAAAAGTAATTGGGTTTTCTTCCTTTAGATGAATATGATGGGGTTGACGATGATTCAAAATAAAGCCGTGCTGGTACCAATTGTCGCCAAGTCGGCTTGAAGTGCAACTCTTTTAACCCAGGCATCTGGCTGGGAGTGATGGGAACTGTAATCCAACAATTCGGTCAGGGTTTGGGGGAAATCTAGAAGCTGTTTGGCAAGATTGAGAGAGTTGACTAGAAGGCAAATGATTAAGGTGGTCTGACTGCGTCTTTATTTACAAAGTTACAGTTTATTTTAACGTTTATTGGGCCCAAGGCCGAAGAAATAATAGTTTTTTTAAAAAAATTCATTAGATAAAATTAATAAGCGACATCTTTCGTTTGTGGGAGCTGAGTGGAATTTCGAGACCTGGGAAGTTTATAAATAATGAAAAACGATTTGATTCTGAATTTTCCAATTTGTCACTTTTGGATCAAGGGCTTGTTAGAATTAATGGATCTTAGCTGGAGATGGGAGTGCTCACCCTTCTTTTTTCTTTTTCGTTATCAAAATTCTGTTATGCCCTACGAAATAATAATAATCAAAATGCAAAACTCAACCAGCTGATGCGATCAGTCTATTTTAGTTTATTTTTAGTTTAGCGTATACCTTAAAGAGTTTAGTTTAGTTTAGTTTAGTTTAGTCATTCTCCCCTAGGCAAAAAAGACGAAGAAACCATCTTGCTATCTGCAGTATTTTGTAGGTTTTCCTACTTTTTCTGTGAAATCCCACCTCAGGACCCCTCATTATTTTCTAGATACGCACCCTAACCACAAAGGAAGCACAGATCTCTTCTTTCCCCCAAACCACCTAGATTCCTTGAATACGACTTCTTGTTAAAAAAAAACAAAAAAAACCCTCCCATCTTCCACTCCACGTACCTCTGTGGGTTCGTTGTAATACGAGGTCCACTCGGAGATATCGTGCGATTCCATTTTGACCGAGCCCAGCATTCCAAAATTCCGGAGAGGAAAAATAATGGCTTGTCCGTGCTTAAAATTTCAAGGAGAGCGGGAAATCCCGGAATTGGTTTCTCGGGGAAGTTTAATGCTTTATTTTAAGGCTCCTCTTCTTCTCCCAAATGCCTTCGTTTTGAAACTCAGCCTAAACCCACAGCTTGAAAGATTGATCTCAGAAGGGACTGCCTTCCTCTTTTTTTCCCAAAGTGTGCAGTGGCACTTTGGGAGCCAAAGACTCAAGGTGCCCAGAAGTCAGGCGAGTCAACAGGTTTCCATGATTATAGGACAATCCAGTTTTGGGACCCAAGGTCCAGGGTGATTTGCAGAGGGCTGCCTTTGGGATGTGCAAGCTGTTCGCGTCGGTTGAAACCTGAATGGCTAGTTGTCCCGAGGTCGTCTCTCAGTATCTGAAGGGCTGTCACCTGGACAGGTCTGAGTCTTTTATAAAGCTACCTCTTTATCCCAACACTCCTCCTGCTGGTGGACAGTTAAAAAGTTAGTTATCTGTCCTGGGCCTGCCAGGGAAATCAGGTCCCTCTGCCACCTGGTGGAAGGGACACCGTTGCAAGAATGTGGGTGGCCCAAGGATGTCACAACCAAAGGCGTGGTGCAACTTTATGGAGCGGCAACCTCTATTAAGGGGAACATCTGGCTACTGTTTGGTGTCAGGTCACTAGACAGCTTGGTGGTGACCAAAAGATTGCAGCTTACAGGTATATTAAATTTATTTCATATTGTACATACTGTAATTTCTGCTCCACACCAAGCAGGGATGTATTGGCTATCTCTAGTTCAGTGGTTCTCAACCTGTGGGTCGGGATCCCATTTGGGGTCGATCGACCATTTCATGGGGGTCGCCAAGCAAGGCTGTCCGCCATTTTTTTTTTGTCTTCCATTTTTTTTGTCCGCCATTTTTTTCCCCCTTTTCCGGCGGGTGCCTTACCTCCCTTGGGCTGGGCCAGCTGGTGGTCGGCCTGCTCCGTCTCTGCCGCTTGCCAGCTACACCTCGGCCGGCGCAGGGGGCGGAACCGCGCATGTGTGGCGCTCCCGGGCAGGGAAAGTCCTCGACTTATGACCGGTTGGGTAGTCCTCGACTTATGACCGGTTTAGTCCTCGACTTACGACCAGTTGGGGTCGCGGCATTAAAAAGGTTGAGAACCACTGCTCTAGTTTAAGGAAGAGAAGGATTAGTGGTGACATGATAGCCACCTTCCAATATCTAGGGTCTGCCATAGAGAAGAGGGGGTCAACCTATTCTCCAAAGCAGGACAAGAAGCAACGGATGGAAACTAATCCAGGAGGCATCCAACCTGGAACTAAAGAGAAATTTCCTGAAAGTGAAAACAACTAACCAGTGGAACGACTTCCCTCCAGAAGTTGTGGGTGCTCCAACACTGAAAGTTTTAAGAAGAAGATTAGACTTACCACTATTCATTTCAATCGATCAGAATAGAGCTCGAAGGGACCTTGGAGGTCTTCTAGTCCACCCCCCTGCTCAAGCAGGAGACTCTATACCATATCAGTCAAGTGGCTGTCTAGTCTCTTCTTGAAGACCTTGAGTGATGGAGCACCCACAATTTCTGAAGGCCAAAGCTGTTCCACTGGTTAATTCTCCTCACTGTCAGGAAGTTTCTCCTTAATTCCAGGTTGCTTCTCTCCTCGATTGGTTTCCATCCATTGTTCCTTGTATTGTCTTCTGGTGCTTTGGAAAATAATTTGGAAAATAGCTCATCACTATTTGTAGTTACAGTGGCCCTGAAAAAAGTGACCTATGATCATTTTTCACACTTATGATCGTTGATTAAGGGGCTTAATCAGGACTTGGGACTCTTGGCAACTGGTTCCCTATTTATGACGGTCGCAGTGTCCTGGGGTCACACGTGATCCCGTTTTTGCCACCTTCTGACAAGCAAAGTCAAAAGGGAACGCAGATTCACTTAACAGCCGTGTCCGTAACTTAACAACTTGCAGTGATTCACTTAATAACCAAGGCCAAAAAGGTCATTAAAATGAGGCAAACCTCACTTAACAACTGTCTGGCTTAGCAAAGGAAATTTGGGGCTGAGTTGTGATCGTAATTTCGAGGACTACCTCTACTGAAAACAGCTCAATATAGAGGCATCCCCAGGAAGAGGTCAAAAAGGAAAGAGGTTGGCTATCACCAGGGGTCAAACCCCTGCCCTTTTCTTACGTTCGTCCGTGACACGATTTCACAAAGTGAGCTGCAGCTCATGAAAGCTGCTGCCTTTTAATAGTGTGTGAGTCAGAATACTTGGTGCTGTTCTTCTTATTTTTGGCTTTCCTGGATTCCTTCTACTCACTCTCCTTCTACCACATAAGCCAGTGGTTCTCAACCTTTTTAATGCCGCGACCCCAACCGGTCATAAGTCGAGGACTAAACCGGCCGTATGTCGAGGACTAAACCGGCCGTAAGTCGAGGACTACCCAACCGGTCGTAAGTCGAGGACTTTCCCTGCCCGGGAGCGCTGCACATGCATGGTTCCGCCCCCTGCGCCGGCCGAGGCGTAGCTGGAAAGCGGCAGAGACGGAGCAGGCCGACCACCAGCTGGCCCAGCCCAAGGGAGGTAAGGCACCCACCGGAAAAGGGAAAAAAAATGGCGGAGAAAAAAAAATGGCGGACAGCCTTGCTTGGTGACCCCCGTGAAATGGTCGATCGACCCCAAATGGGGTCCCGACCCACAGGTTGAGAACCACTGACATAAGCCAAAGGACGATTCCACAAGACTTTTAAGACTTGTGGACTTCAACTCCCAGAATTCTGGGACTTGAAGTCCATAAGTCTTAAAGTGGCCAAGTCTGGAGACCCTTGCTGTAGATCCTTGATTGCGGAGGACTGATGAGGAGGATCCATTTCCCACATGCTCCAGATCGGTCCAGCTTCAGCTGCCCAGGTTAACGGCACGGAGGTGGATGGGTGAGCAAGCAAGCTGGGAGAAGACCCCTGGTTCTTCCTCCAACAGTTGAGCAAGTTGTCTTTTCAGATTGCTGCTTTCGGTGGTCTGAGCTGGCGAAGCCATTTCTTGGTGGGAGGTCACCTTGCAGCAGAACTGATGTTCAGTAACATGGTGAGCATCACAGCTTCATCAGCTGGGGCTCAGAGATTCTCCCTTTTCTAGGGTAGCTTTGGCTAGCCTGGTCTTCCAGGTTGAGACTCAGAACTTGTTCTAGAAGATGAATAGTTGCAGGAACTGGGAATGTCTAGTCTAAGGAAGAGGACTAGGAATGACATGATAGCAGTCTTCCAATATCTGAAGGGCTGCCACAAGGAAGAGGGGGTCAACCTATCCTCCAAAGTACCTGAAGGCAGAAGCAGCAATAGATGGAAACTAAATCAAGGAGAGAACCAACCTAGAAGTAAGGAGAAATTTCCTGACAATGTGAACAATTAATCAGTGGACCAGCTTGCCACCAGAACCGGTGAGGGCTCCATCACTGGAGGTCTTCAAGAAAAGATTGAACAGCTGGAATGGAATAAGGCAGAGATGTGTCCAATCTTGGCAACTTCCAAGACTTGTGGACTTCAACTACCAGAATTCCCCAGCCAGCATGGATTTCCTACTTGATCAGGGGCTTGGACTAGAAGATCTCCAAGGTCCCTTCCAACGCTGTTATTTTATAATTCTCCTATCCCTTCCGCCCTTTGCTCCTGCCCATGGTGTGGGAGATCGTTGATTGTCTCAGGAACTGCCTGTTTGCTGCCTTTACGAGAAAACGGTGAACGTTGTTATGAGGACTCCTGCTCAGGTGGCATCAACGTCTATCCTCTTCTGGGGCGGATTGTCCATGAAAGGTGATAGAGACCAGAGGCCCATCACTGGAGCCCCTGCCATAACCTTCCTGAGAAATTTGTGGGGAGAACAAACTGGACAAAGGACAACTTCAGGTGGCCAGCAAAGTTGTACGTGTGTGTGTTTGTGTGTGTCAGTACATACGCAGACACACAATATCAGAGAAGGAGAGGAATCCATGGGGGAAAAAAAGATAACCAAGTTTATTGACAGAGACAAGTAAAATACAAAAACAAATTTAACCTTCTCTCTCCCCTTCACCCCAAAGTCTTCCACGTGGGAATCTGATCCCCACACCTTCTCCTGTCCGATCTCTTCCCCTGTTGCAACACAAACACACACCAAAGTCGGCAGAACCACCAACAAGTGAACAGATGTGGAACCACACACACACACACAAACAGATCAGAGGTTATGGGGTAGTGCCTGTATTTTAGTCCCCTGTACCTCCAAATCCCATCACACTGAGAGTGCCATTTCTCCCCCCTCCCCTTTATGGATTTATAGCCACCTTTCTTTAATTAAGAATCTGATTTTTTTTCCCCTCTCCACCTAACACCATCTCTCTACTTAAGAGTCAGGAAACCAACAGACCCAGATTTTTCTGTAGGAGACGAGGAAGCAGAACTGAACTTGGGGTGTGTGTGTGTGTTTTTTTGCCAAGTGCCATCCTGAGCAAGGCTTAAACAGCTCCCCAGAGCAGTCCCCCATCCAACCTGAGCCCCTGTGCCCATTATTCTCAGCCTTGGCTGGCTGAGGAGAATGGGTGTGGAAACTCTACTCATCTGTAAGGTATGAATACATCTGAAGATGTGTTCTCTACGCTTCTCTTATTCATTCAAGAGAAGCTCATGCAGCAGAAAGAAAGTAGCAGTGGATTGGGTCTGTATTCAGTGTTTTCCTCCGCACACGCCTCTCAATCCTGGCCCTTCTTGGACCTTCTCTACTGTCTTCCACCTGACAAATTCTGCATTTTAACAAAAAAACAAAACAAAACCCTCAACCCTTATTTTTGGTGTGCATGCTTAAGTCTTTTGGTATGAAAAATACCCCCCCTGCCTAACTTTAAGATCAACACGCGAGGCACTTTTTCCATCCCTCTCCTTCCTCCTGCTACACCGCTTCCTCCTAATTTTCTAGACCTCCCTTCTCCTCCTCCTCCTCCTCTCCCCCCTAACCATTCCCACACAGCATGCCTCCTTCCCTTCCCCTCCCTGGATCCACCCAGCATCCAAACCCAGTTAGTTTCAGACTCCTGAAGTTCCCAACGAAGGTGCACAGATTCAGAACGGTGTCCAGGGACGAGCTGTGATGGCCAGGCCATGAGAACGACACATACAGAGACTGGCCATCCAACGGGGAGGAGGCCTCTGAATGAAGCGGAACGGGGGAACATGAGCAAGTGAAGCTGAACCAGGTTTAAGTAGCACCTAGTGGACCGATGTGGGGCTGGGGAAGTTTTGGTTCGGGAAAGAGTCAAACATCAAGACATCGGAGAAAGTCAGCTGTGGCATCTTCGTGGCGGGCGAGATGCCCCAAGAGACTTCTGAACTCGTCAACCCCGCATTTCGGTCTCTCCTACTTCCCACCCCGCAAGTGCGTAGTCCGTCCGCCCAACCCCTCGCCCACCCCTTCCCCTGTAGTAGGTTACGTAGATGTGATTTCAGATATAAGCTGGCTATGGAAATAGGATTTAAAAAATAGAACTATATACAGCCCCCCGCAAATCCGCAGCGGGTTACAGAGGATGTCCGAGGGGGAATAAGTTACTCCAGTCCCTGCCCTGGCCGCAGGAGCCAAGGCGGGCAGGGGGCATGCCACGGCACACACCGTCCCGGATCGTAGCCTCTCCTCTCGGCCGGCTTCACGGATCGCGCTCCTTTTTTACTTTCACATCCCCCGCCAGGATGGTGGCAATCTCGCCCTGCATGAAGGCCCAGGGCACGTTGGAGCCCACCAGGGGGCACTTCTCCCCGCTGGGGCAATAAACCTCGCCGGCAGCTCCTTGGGCCTTAATGAAATCCCGCGAACAGGGGAAGCAGAACTTGTGGCCCGGCACCGAGGGACACTGCACAAAGTGGGTGTCCTCCAGCCGCTCGTGGCAGATGGTGCAGCAGAGCGGGGCGCTGCCCGCCCCCCCGGACGAGTCGGGGGCGCTCTGGGTGCCGCTGGGCTCGGCCGCCCCGGAAGAGTGGGCTCCGGACGATGAAGACGAGGAGGAAGAGGAGGAGGAAGAAGAGGTGGTGGTGGCTGCTTGGCCCGGCTCGCCGTTGCGGGGCACCAGGCGGTGGGGTCCCGAGGCGGCCGGCGAGGCCGGGCTGGTGCTGTTCTGCCGGGCGGTGGTGGAGTGCACAGGGTTGAGCTCCTTGCCGCCCAGCGTGTCGGCCACGTTCTTCAGGGCCGTGATGGGCGAGGGGTCGTTGCGCAGGGAGCCCTCGGGCAGGCCGGCCTGGGTGGGCAGGTGGGCCAAGCCCGGCGGCGGGTACAGCCCGGCGGCGGC